AAATCTTTAATCTGGTCAGAAATTCATATTTGATATTTCTGATGGTCACTGTTCTCTCATATGTTTTACCCTTCAGCCCCTTTCTGAGTTTACCAAACTTTAGCTTAAATAAAGAGACCTCTTCTTTCAACTGAATTGTGTTTCCTCTCTAAGCAGAATAAGAGCTTTGAGATCTGTTTGTTGACTGTTTGCCAATTGTTGAAGCAGTGGTATAGTTCTTTAAATGGATAGGCATTCTGAATCAGTAGTTCCACTTTAGGTAATTTATTCTAAAACAATGAACAGAGGTGTACATATTAATATTTTCATCCAGTTATTTATAATACTTAAAAATTGATGTCACCTTTAAGTGTCCATGGTAGGGGAACAACTAACTAAATTAATTATGGTATATCTATGGGGTGGCTTATTATACAGCAATTAAAATTCATGTTTTAAAAGCAAAATGATTATGGAGTCATGTTCAACCACAGAATTACATTACTGTATCATGCAAATTTGTTTGCATAAAGAATACATGTGCATATACATGAAGAGAAATTCAGGAAGGACATACAACCAGCCTACTGCATCCACTGGTTTTTCATCTGTGGATTCAACAAAAAATAAAGGAAAAAAATTGCATCTGTAAAAAAAAAAAAAAAAAAAAAAACATAATGTGTCCATGCAGAACATAAATAGATATTTTTCTTGTCATTACTCCCTAAACAACACAGTATGATAATTATTTACACAGCATTTATTTTGCATTAGGTATCATTTATAATCTAGAGATCATGTAAAGTATATGGAAGGATGTATGTAGTCTATTTATAAATGTTGCTCTTTTATATATGAGACCTGTGCATCTGTAGATTTTGTATTCATGCATGTCCTGGAAACATTCCCCGTGGATAATGATGGGTTACTGCACTTGAAAACAGGATTATGAGTTGGTTTGGAACTGACCAATTCTGCCTAAGGCTCGAATATCAAATCAGTTTCAGAGTTCTGTAGGTCTTTCTAGGTTTCTTAAAATGGGGGTAAATTTTGACTTTAGCCTTAAAAATGAAGTAATCTACACATTACATTCATTGTCATGATCACATAACCATATATTTTCTTCTGAGATTCTCTGTTTTTAGGAAGGACACATATTTATTCTACTCATTATAATCTGGAAGCATACAGTAAGGTGCCTGAAAGAGCTGGCCTATAACTAATGTGTATTGATTTAAGAGAGGCAGTATAAAATTAAAAACTTACTGGTTAACCGAAAAGTTATCAGGGGAAAGAATAAATATTCATATTAATGAATGCTTCTGAGTGTCAAAATGATTTGACTAAACTCAAGCAAATATTAGCTAAAAATTTCCAAAGTTGAATAAGATTATTTGCAAACTATTTAGCTTTCTTTTCTTCTAGCTAAAGCTCTATAGTCAGATCCTGGTTGCATTTTGGAGGCTATATTTTTCCATGCATACAAAGCCTTTGAGATACACCTTTTGTGGTCCTTACTTATTGATTTCATAAATGTTATATGTTCTATGATATGAGCTTCAAATATAGAGTGAATGTTTAAGTAAAAGTAATCATTACAATACAACAAATAGGGGCTGGGGATTTAGCTCAGTGGCAAAGCGCCTGCCTGGCAAGCGCAAGGTCGTGAGTTCGGTTCCCGGTACCAGAGAAAAACCAAAAAAAAAAAAAAACAAAAAAACAATACAACAAATAATGCCATAAATCACCCTTAAAAATCCTGTCTGCTTGAACACTCATATCCCATCATTCTTACCACCTTTTGGTGAATGTCTTTACAAAGTGCCATAAAAATATAATTAATGCTTCTGATGAGTGCCATCCAATGAAAATCTAAGCTCTTAAAAGATTATGGTTTGTCCTCATTAAACTTATCACCAGATCTGGCACCATTCAACTTCCTGTACTTTCCCAAAGTCAAAACGACTATGAAAGTTAGATATTTTGAATGAATTCAGGACACTGAGGCAACCACAGCAACACAATTAGAAACGCTAAAAAAATGATTTCTAATACTGCTTTGGAAAGTGGAAAGAATAATAGAAAAAATGTTCAAAATGAGGGGAAATATTTTGCAGAAGATTCTTGGCATCTTGCTGCTGAGATATAATGCCCAAAGTTAAAGGAGGAAAAGTTTATTGTAGCACACAGTTTGTAGAGATTTCAGTCCATAATTGGCTGGCTCCCAGGCTGGGTGGGATGGCAGAGGGGCATCACAGAGGTGAAACAGCTCATGGTAGGCAGAAGGCAGCAAAGTAGGTTAGAACCAACACGTGACCAGCACCAAGTGATCAACAACAATGTCAGCAGCCCTTTTTCTGTCCCTCACATTCCATCAAGACTACCTGCCCTTAGAGTGATTAGCACTCACACCTAGGTGAGGCACCTTAATCCTAGCATTGCACCATGAATCAATCCCAGAATCACATCCTTAATCCCAGCATCAAACACTCTAGATCCAGCCACCTCTGAAAAGCTCCACCTATGATCACAAGCCATAACAAATGGCAATGTGGCTTTTACTGCAATACTGTGAATGTTTTCAAAAATTTAAACATTCACTGTATGCTTCATCATATTGTATAACCTTCATATTTTTTCTCTGAGTTTCCATGGAAACAGGAACCCTTTCTGTCATAGTCACTATTGCATTCCCGAGAAGTAGAGAGAGGAGTTTGAGCGAACCAATAGTCACACATAAACTGTAACAGCATCAAAGCTTTCCAGAACTACTCTCAAAATTAGTGCTTGAGAGTCATTGTGGAATGGGTGATCAATTTTGGTATTTCCTTTTGTCCTAGTACTACCAATAAATTTTACTCAAGGAACTCTTCATTTGACTTGTGTTTCCCAATTTTTTAAAGCTGCTATTTCTTACTTTAAAGTATGCAAATTATGCTATGGAGATAACACAGATATCTGGCTCTGACCTAGAAAAGCTGTCTTCCACAATTGGACAGTTGCACATGTGTCAAAGGAACAAATTAAACTATGTTGTTATAATGGGTTATGCTCATCAAATAATGTAACAAATGTAACTCAATGTATTTTTGTCCTGTTTAAGATACTAAATATTTAAGTGGATATTTAATAATTGAGCATGAGGCCACAAGATTAAGAAAAATAATCTTCAGTGTCAAGATTATCTTTTAAGGAAGTTCAAAGATAAATTGACTTTGTCTCTGTTCAGTCTGTTCAGTGTCTTCTGAACAGAGACTGAAATGAAAATCACTAAGTCTATAAACTAAGAGTTTAATTTATCACCAAACAATGTAGTTGTTTATAGGCTGTCAGAACAAAGGCACTCCCTATTGATGCTTGAGAACAAATACTTCCTTGAAGTCTCTGAACACACATTTCATCATTTCCTTTATACTGGATTCTTAGAAGATCAAAAGACTTAAATCATATTCCAGAAACAAGATGAGGCAGGTGTGACAAAAATCTAGTTTCGGGTTCACATTTGGCAGAATTCCAAGTGGAACATGACTATCTCAAGATGCTCTGGCCTCAGGGACTGGATTGCTGTCACTGAAAGTGGCTCCTTGCCAGGACTTGACTTATCATTAGTGTATCTGCAACGTGGTAGGATTTTAGGGGTTCTGGGAAAACATCCCTTGACATTAGACTCTGTAATTTACATTTCATTTATAAAAAAAGAAAAATGCTCATTAATTTATGCCAAGAAGAAAAACAGCACAAAAATGTACATAGCTCTAATATTCTTCAACAAATATTTGTTGCCTGTTGGTTGCGAACTGGAGTAGGTACCTAACAGGTTAATAGGATTTTGTTATTTTAAAAACTAACAACTTTGTTGATAGGATAAATTCTTGTCTGCTTGGAAGTATAATATATTACAATATGTGTATATGTTGAGGCATAATGGACGACACTAAATTCAACATGAATAAATATTCCTGTAGAACCTCAGCTAACTCACGAGCTGAGGAGGGTTTAACGTTATAACACAGAATGCAGAACATCATACAAAGTATGCAAACTAAGACACTGATAATGGTGTAGTGTCTGACACTGGAGCTCAGGCAATGAGGAATCTCCTGAACTGTCAAAAAATGAGTCTTTAGATGAAGACATAGGCCATGATAATAAAAGCTCACTGGGAAGCGTAACTATTTTCAAAAACATGGTATGTATCATTCACACCAGGATTTTAAAACAGAATGTCTCTTCCCTGCCCTACCCACTACCTTACAAAAGGACACCGTATATATTCTTCACATGTAAAACAGCAAAGGGTGCAGAGGCTAGCTGTTTACTTTAGATATGGCTTGGACAGAGATTTCTGTGGACAGAGAAGTGGGATATCTCATGGATCCTCTTAGCTTTCTTCATCTTCTGCTCAGGTATTGAGGCAGGCTGTAATTCTGCTTCCTCTAGTCCAACCCTGAACGGGGCTTCCCAGTTCTACATCTTCCCCACCTGAGATGTTCTATATTAAGCATCTTTGAGTGGCTGCAAAGAGAAGAACAGGTAAAGAAATGCAAGTTTCATAGACATCTTCAGTTTCAAGTGCCTTTTACCCAGCCCAAAGTGCCTGAATATAGAAGAAGTTTGAAAAAGTTTCCAGACAGAATCTTCCTCCATCTCGGCTCTTGTAAGCAACATAAAATAGTCCCCTCGAGACATGAGCCCTGCTTTAGTTACACTAGAAAAAGAAGTGGGTGTGTACTTTGCTGTCAGAGGATTTAGATAAACATGGGATAAACAGGCCTCCCAATGTGTGTTCAGCACATTGAATGATACAGACTTGTATGTTATTTTTATTTTTTGACAGAGATTTGGCAGCACATAGGGGATGGATTGAGGGGACAACCCTGGAATTGGGGAAAGCTGATATAGCAATTTCTATCATGCAGGAAAGCTTCCTATGGGAAAAGGTTAAATTGTCAATATCTTGGGAATGAGAAGGACTTTACAGAGTATATTCAGCTGACTGATTATTTTCATTAAATGGGTTAACTGATGAGGTCTGGCTTACTTCTGGTAATGTGTATCACAGGAAGTCATCGGGAAGTACATGGTTAGGAAGAGCTTCAGGTAATTGACATGAGTGGTTGTGGGGCATCCAGACGGGGAGCTGCAGCAGGTCCTGAGTATAAGGAAAGGAAAGTTAGCTTGAATTTATCTGGTGAAATAACTAGCATTCTGGTGAGGTCATGTATGCAGGGTAATTGGAGGTCAGGGAAAGATGAGGAGGCAGAACTGCTTTTGGATATAAAAATAAAAAAGGGAAGATGCACATCAGAAAAGAAAGAGAAGGCTTCAAAAAGGCTTTAATATCAACAAATTATCAACATCATTCCCTGCTTGATGTACTTCTGGGATTATTCTAGGCTCCTTTGGGAAGTCCTGCATAAGATTTGGACTCTTACCTCTAATAAGAATTGTGGGTATTGATACAGGATATTGATTGGAATAAGTTTTACTGAATTAAAATCATTGAAATGATGCTTTATACTATGCCTATAAGAATGGAGGTCTATCTGTCATATATTACACTTAGTAAATATATACATAAATAATACATATAGATGATATAAATATATCTTGTGTGTAAATTTCTTGGCTGATTCTTGAATTATGAGATAAAGCCTGAAAAACAAACAAAAAAAAGAGATAAAGCCTACCTGTGATATTCTCCTACTTATAATTTTGATTCCCCTCCAGTGCTGATAAAGGAACATCTGGGATCTCAAACTCTAAACTATAAAACAGAAATGTAATAATTTTTTAATCTGTTAATGAGAAGATAAAATGAGCATAAATTACAAGCATATCTTTGAGAGTGACCTGTAAATCTGCACCGACTTCATTTACATTCCTTGGCATAGTTCTCTCTCTCTTGACTCATATGGAGAGTGCATTTTCTCATTTTGAACAGGGAAAGTTTTTCTCATCAGGTCCTGCAGCACTTCCATTGAAACTGTATTTAAGAAGCAAAAATCAAAGCCAATGCCATTAGACTCAACTACAGAGAGTGCCACATCCTTGATTTATGTTAGGCGTAGTCTAAAGTGATCAAAATCCTTTAATTTTTATTTTAGTCAGTCACTTTATTGCTGAGACTGCCAATAACACCTCAGTACCTTGAACATTTTAATAGTGCACAAAAAATGCTTAGGATATTCTGAGTATGATATAAATTTGATGTGATTCCAGAAATAACTCCCTAATTATGGAGGGATGGGTTTCATGTTGCTCAATAAAATAGTATTGCAAGTAAAATAAAGGGCGATTAGTCAGTTCTTTGCTTCAAGTTCAGGCAATGCATTTCAACTCAATAAAGCCACCTAGTTAATTCTAATTCTTTCTGAGTTCTGTTTCAGGGCTGAGATCTGAGTATTTGATTGTAAGGAAACCAGTTGCTGCTATGTTGTGGTCCAGGGGGAAAATCTCTTCACCCTTTCCTCTATATTTCCCTTCAGTGTTTCTCCTCTGTGAGGTCCTATCTTTTCCTATTGGTAGCTAGTACATGGCCAAGTGTTTGCCTACTCTAATAGACAGGTGCTGCTTTATAGAAGAAAGGGCTGCTTTGGATTTTGATGTGGGAAATTAAGAGGAAAAGAAACCCTCACTGTGGTCTTACAGCCTGACTTTGATACAAAATGTGAATGATGTTGAGAGGTTTATATCATTAACATCAACCCCTCTGCACATGTTTTCTGTCTTTTGTTATGTTAGAAGAGTGTGTCCCCTTCCCTTGCGTCCTTGTACTGCATCATACAAAAATGCTTAATTACCTTAGCCAGGGTAGGTGGAGGATCCATGTTAAGTGTAAGAAAGTTATAAAATGTACTTCCTACATTGTGTATCCAGGACAATTACCACTCCTTCCCTGAGTTTTGAGGTTTCTTCTTCTTGGTGGCAGATGGAGCTTTTTAGGAATATTTATCCAAGGTATGTGGTACAAAAATTGTAATCTTTTATTAGCAACAAAGCCCAGGGATATATTTCCTTTCCTTGTATCAAAAATGATTTTGTTCTTTTATGAATATATATACACACACATACATGTATCTGTGATGGATTGAACACTGGTGGTCTATTTGTAACACCCAGCTGAACTGAACCAGCGTGGTGCTGGGGGTGGGAGGCCCACCTGAGGATTGTTGCTGGCAGCATAAGAGGAAGAGCTGGAGAGGAATAAGTAGAGATGATGTTGGGAACTGGTAGAAGCTGTTTGGGAAGCTGTGAGGGATCTGCTGGTTCTCTTGGGCTATTCTGCTGGAGGACCTTGTCATGCTGGCTTTCCTGATGAATTTGGCTATTCTCATTGGAGAAGGAGCTTAGGACCTCATTGTCATTGAGAAGGGATTTCACTCACTTTGGGGGAGCTCCGGTCCTCACTTTCAGCATCACTTCCTGGCTCCAGAGGGGAAGATAGTGCATTGCTCTCTTCTGGAGAAACTTGTTGTATTGGCTTTCCTAATGGGAACTCAGCTTTCGGCATCATCTCAGGAACTTGGGACCTCAGTGTTGCTGAGGATGGCTGTGGTACTTTTCAGGGGAGCTCTGGTTCTTACTTTGAGCATCACTTCCTGGCTCCAGTGCAGATCCCTCAGCCTGCTAGCACAGATCCTTCATCCCTGCTGGCAAGGACTTTCTAGCTTCCACTACTGACCTTTGGGCCTTCCCAGCACAGATCCATGAAACAGGCCTGCATGAGACATTGTCATGGGTTTTACGCCTCCAGTTGGACTCATGCAGGGCATTACTGTGGGATTTAGCTCTCAGCTGGATTCTTTGGTCTTTAGTGTGTGGACAGATTTCCTGCACTCTCTTTTTATATGTGATTCTTTGGGTGACTATAATAAATAATCTTATAAAATATGTGTCCTGTATTATATTGTTCCCCTTGGAAAACCCAAAACTATGACATATTCCTATATGAAAATACACAAATGCTAATGTAAGCATGTCTGTCTGTCTTTATCTCTATCTATCTAATCTATCATCTGTCTGTCATTTAAAGGTGGGCCCATAAACTTGAGTTTTGAGCAAATCAGTATCTATGTAATACATATAATGGTATCAAGGACAGTTGGAAGAAATTCTTCCCTATTATGGGGAGAAGAGTGAGCCAGGGAAGAATTTTTTGTGCAATAGCAGGATATCACATATTGAAGAAAAAACTCATGGGATATTTTTAGTGATGGAGTTGGACAGTACATCTAATGAATTCTAATACCAGGTGTTTAATATTAATTGGCTTCCTGCATTGTATTGAGACATAGCAACAAGTCTCCTCACCCCAAACTTTTAGTACACAGCAGTTGCTCTCACAATTGCAAAGTGAGGCAAACACCCTGGAGTCCAACATCGGTGAAGATTGGACTAACATTGGTGAATCAGCAGCAGGTACCCACTTGGGTGGGACACCTGGAGAGTCACCCATCTGGCACACCCAGGGCAGTGAGCCCAGTGTTCTCAACTGGGGCTGATTTTGGCTCACTTGGAACCTTTGGCCATGTTTTGAGACATTTTGGTGGTCACCATGGGGAGTGGTGAACTAGATCTAGTGAGTACTGTCAGAGCTGCTGCTAGATATGTTACCACGCACAAGACAGCTCCTACAGCAAAGAATTATCTGACTCTGATGTCAGAAGTGCTGAGGTTAAGAAATCTTAAGACAGACATACTCATTTTCTACTATAGCAGTATATAATTTAAATTCTTGGCATTCACTGTAGAATTCTAGAAAGTGTTCTTTATCCGTGCTTGAAAAGATTCTGCCTCCTGTGGTTTGAGAAAGTTCTGATGCTTTTACTTTTCCATCCACTCTTCTCTTTCTAAACTGTGCTTCCCTCTTTAAACAGGGAAAAAGTTGGTCATGTATAACAGGACTTCAGTGTAGAAAGATGGCGCTATTTCAACCAGCGAAGAAGGAGCTGAGGATTAATAATATTAATGAATAATAATTGATTAAGCCCGGTAGTTCTGTGTCAGATTTATCACGAGAACTTGACCGCTTTACATACTCACTGATTTCTTGCTTAATTTCCCTCTTTGGAATTTAAGATAGTCTCCTATCCAGGGAAAATGAATTTCTGGAGGAAAGAATTCACTCATCAGAGAATAGTAACGGTCATGAGCTAAACAGTAAAATTTTCTTTTGTCTTTGTTTCTCTGATATTGACTGCATTTTGTTTTTCATGTTGCATCATTTCATTCTTTGGGAACTTCAAGTTAAAGTTTGTACTAAAAATATGAAGTCTGCCTTATGAATTTAAAATTAAGATACTAAAAATTTAAGTCATTCCAAAAGACCTGCAGAGCAACAAATACTTCAGACATTTATGTCTGGTTATTCTGAAATACAGACACTCACAACCCAGTACCTGTCCCCTGATACGTGATATTCAAAATCAGCAGAAGTTCTTCCAAGTAATTCATGGGATAAGAGAATATGAGTCATTAAAATGTAAGTACAAACTTTAGTCAGACAACTGATGGGACTGCTGCCAAAGGGGTGGGGGAATACAATTGGGCCACCCTCATAGATTTCTGCAACAAAGCTAGTTTTCCTGGTACTAGATTCTGTGGTCCCAAGGATCAGCCTCTATCATTTCACTAGTTTAGAAAAAAGACTGTGGGAATGAAAATATTTCAAAAGAAATAGTACGACTAAATAGCATATGTTTTTCTGAGTGTGTTTGTCTTGCATGCTGGAATAAAAAGGGATAAATTCAAACTAGTTAGGAATTTGAGTCAAAGTTTGTAAATTGCAAATTCTGAGATTTAACACCCATAAAAATCACATAGAATGAACATACATTAGAATTGCATATTCCTCCACCGGCTCCCAGGACTCTGACTCCAAACAGGTGTGTTTTCCAGGTTCTGTGAGAATTTCTGACCAAGTGCTTTGTGGATACAGTTTAACCCCAAACTGTCAGAACAGCCAGCTCAGTTTGTTTGCCAATAGGAAAATGACGAGGCTTACGATAGAAGTTCAATAAATACTTGTTGCATTAGGTTAGCGCCTTTGCTAGAAGCAGACATTTTCCTTTAGCTTTTATGTGACTGGAATGATGATGCGCTCATCAGACCTATGCTGGTTTGGAGAAACACATCCTCATTTGTTCTTCATGCTGTGCTGCACGGATTTCTGTTTCTAGTGTCAGAAGTCACAGTTGTGCTATCCTTTCCTTGTCCTAGTAATGTCACTTTGGACAACTTTGGACCTCCCTTGGACTTGCCTTTAAAGTTTCTAACCTGTGTAAGTTGATTTAATTACTTCTTGAAACTGCATACGGTACTGAAAAATAAAGACAAAGAGTGTATGTAAAAAACACAGAGTAAACTAAAAAGTTCTATGGTATTTATGTTATAATTTCTAGAAACCAGTTGTAAACTAAAATGCACAATCGGGGAATAGAGTGTGTGAGCTTCCTGTCACTATGACAAAATACCTAAAATAATTGGCTAACGGGAGGAAAGGTTGATTGTGCCTTGTGGTTTTAGGTTTCAGAGATTTAAGTTGGTGGTTACTTGGTTTGGTACTTTTGGCCTGTAGCAGCACGTTAGGTCAAAGAGCAAACAAGTGACAGGGCAGACTTGTTGTCCCTCATAGTAGCCAGAAGCTGCAGTGTGGAAGAGGAGCAGCAACCCTAATATCTCCTTCCAGGATCCGTTTCAGTCACTGAACTTTCTCCCAGGAGGCCCTGCCTCCTAACAATTCTACCTCCTTCCAGTAGCACCAGGGGCTGGGAGCCATTCCTTCAACACACAGGCCTCTGAGGACCATTCCGGATTCCAACCCTTGTGTTCAGACAGTGGCAGTAAAATACTTCTAATCCTCTGCTCTAGGAAATCATTGGAGGAAGTTAAGTTTAAAGTGAAAGCAAACTAAACTCCAGCTGATGAGATAAAGTTGTATCTTCGTCATATGATTTTATATAGCAAAATGGGCTACTT